GAATTACCATAATTAAAAAGTGAAACTTTCAAAAAAATATATAACTTTCGCCAGGTAGTTCGAGCTGAAAATGGCAACTTTTGACACTTGTTTTCTTATATCTGAAAAACGAAAACTGATAGAAACATCGTCTTTCTTTTTGTAGTACGCAATAATATTTAGGTACAAAACAGTATATAGGGACCATAGTATATACTAGAGCTCCATATGGACTGGACTGGAAATTTGTTGAGCTCATCGACTCGAACTGGACTCAAAAAATAACTTTGGATTCACTTGAATCGAGGAATAATCAGTAAAAAACAGTTGTTTTTGTATTGTGGACTGCATGTGACTGCTTTTTTTAGAGTCTATGAACTGAAAAAAACTGTTTTTCATAGACTAGGACCGGACCGGACTAGATGTTTATAGTCCAGGGACTGAACTCAGAATTTTGAGTCTATACGGAGTTCTGCTATATATATGTATGTATCTATGCATATTTGTGGAAGAAAATTACTAGCGCGCCGGAAAGATATCTTATAGAAAGATATCTTATAGCTCTCAATAACAAGCGTTCAGTTTCATATAGAAAGATACATTCATGTCTCATCTATCGGATAGTGTAAATCTAGATATGCATCATTATCAATATACCGAATACTGATCAGACTGACACTGATTTTTAAACTCTTTTTACTCAAAATAACTTTTTTTCGATTTTAGAAGTATAGACAGTGAAGTAAAACATCCGGTGAATGCAGAATTTAAAAATGGAATAAATCTGGGTGAAGCTGTCAGTGCCGCTAGTTTTGTTGCATTCCAGGTTAGTCTCCACCATGGTAAACGTGTTCGGAAAACCTAATCCGTTCATAGATCGATCTTTCACGGTATCTGCTTTAAGAAAGTGGAAATCGCAGATCTCTAGCTATTATAGTTGAAAAGTTGTTCAAAAAACATTCGATTACGTTATATTTTGAAACAGTTAATACGTGGAGAATGCACTTTTGAACATAAACGTCCCGGATTTGTACTACAACAAGCGAATCCAGCAACTGGACATGCAGCAGGAGATTGAAAATAGACTACTTTCTAACTAGAATTATATAATATGTAATCAAGACAACATGAAATAGTTGCTGTAACTTCAGTAAAATAACAGTGAAGTCTGAAAGCATGACGACGAAAAATTTCAAACCAGAAGTAAGGGTTTTTGAATTTGCAGCTAGCTTGCCCGCCGAATTTTCAGATTA